ACAAACATTCTCTAACCTTAGGCCAATAAATTGCTGAAGTAAAATGACCCCCCAACACACACACAAAACCAAGCCCCATGGGAGTAAAAAGAATGCTGGCAGTAGTCCAGCAGCAATGTGGGGAGTTTATTACACTGAACACAAAACAAATACCATTCCCTTGTGGGCAAGGGGTGTCTAGGCTCATTCATTGCAAGCAGCTGATGGTGCTCAGAGTACGGGCTCCTGAGATGAGAAAGGTTGAATTGGAGGAGCTGAGAGTGCCAGGGCAATACACAGATGAGACTCTCAGGGACCCTGTTGAACAGTCCCATCCCCAGCTGGACAGCTTCTATGCACCTGAGAAGGATGCAAGTCTCCACAAGGGAGATCATCAAGCAGAGGGAAATGATCCCATAGTTGGGACCCTCCCCTCCCAGATGATGCCATGGTGTCCTCTCGCACTCAGGATACCTCCCTGGGAAGAAGGGATCCCTGCTATGAGACAGACAGGTAATAGTCCGGGGGGATTCATTAGTAGAGATATAGCTGGTTGAGGGTGATGAGAGGGAGAACTGCATGATGAATTATCTGCTGGCTGGAAAGACTGCACACCAGCCAAGACATCTAATCAGACTTGCATGCAGTTCGGGGAAGGAGCTGGTGGTCATGGTACACGTAGGTACCAATGACAAAGGGCAAGTGGGAGAGGTCCCGGGAGGTGAAATTGAAGCTGCTAGGAAAGAGATTGAAATCCAGGACCTCCATGGTAGCATGGTCTGAGTGCTCCCAAGCTGCAAGGTAGGTCCAGCTAGACAGGCAGGACTGCAGCCTCTTAAGGCCTGGCTGAGACGATGGTGTTCAGAGGAGGGATTTAGATTTATGGAAAACTGGGGACCTTTGGGAAGGGAGTTGACTATATATATATATATATATATATATATATATATATATGAAGTTAAGCATCATTCTGACAGCTTTGAACAGGATCTGTGAGAGTGTTATAAGTCATCTGAGAGATACTCTCCTGGCAGAAAGGAGTGCACAAAAGTTTGTCCCACCTAAACTCAAGCAAATCCAGACTGCTGGCCTGTAAAATTAAAAAAGTTTGCAGAGGATAAAAGCCAGTCAAGGAAAGCTGAGAGGTGGGGAGGAGCGCATGGTTCAGATAGATCCATTCCCTAGGGGAGTATTATTAAAGAGGACATTCTCTATGTCCTGGTAAAGAGGAGAAGACAGATGCTGATAAAGTACAGGGAAGAACTGAAGAGAGAGTCAAACAAAGAAGAGCCCCATTCAATTATATCACATGAAGGCAGAATATACAGATGCAAATTTTATAAATGCTTGTAAGCAAACCCTAGAGGTCTAAATACTAAGATTAGTGAACTTGACTGCTTGGTATTGCATGAGGATATTGAAAGAACAGGAATCACAGAAACTTGGTGAAACAGTGATAGTCAATGGACAGGGTAATATTAGGGACCAAAATATACTGGAATGACAAAGTAGATGGCATTGATGGGGAAGCGGTACTATTGTGAAAAAGCATAGAGTCAAATCTAGTAAAAGTCTTAAAGGAATCGAGTTGTGTCAGTTTCTGTGGACAGAAATTCCATGCTTGAAACATAAAGAGTGTGGCATTAGGAATCGAATACTGACCACCTGACCAGGATGGTAATTGTGAAATATTCAGGGAGTTCAGAGAGGCCACAAAAAACAAAAAAAACAATAAAAATGAGGGGCTCCAACTCTCCCCACATTGACAGGGAACATGTCACACTCAGGATGACACGCAGAGATAAAGTTTCTAGGCACCACTGCTGACAGCTTTTTGGAGCCGGTATTCCTGGAATCCACAAATGGACAACCGACAAGTTTTCAGTGGCATACAGGATCTGGTCCAAGAGGTGACTATAGCAAAAACACTCAGTACATTTAATACCATGATGGTCACTATTAACATCCGGGGGGAATGGGGGGATATGAAGGAACCCCCGGCCTCCCCAGCACCATGTCACTTAAGAAGGGGAACTACACATAAATGAGGAAGCTAGTTAAATGGAAATTAAAAAGAACAGTCACAAGAATGAAATGCCTGTGAGCTGCATGGAAACTATTTTAAAATATCATAACAGAAGTTCCAACTACATGTTTTACCCCACCACAACAGCTAAGCAGAATAAAAGAGGTGGTTAAAGATATCCTTAAAAAAATGAATGTCAAACACTACTGAGGAAAATAGAAAGGAACAAACTTGGGCAAATCAAATGTGAAATTATGGCCCAAAAGGAATTTGAAGAGCAACAGGAATGAGAGAAAAAAACCTAACAAATATGTTTAAGTACTTCAGAAGCAGGAAGCCTGCCAGAAGCTAAATGAATTATGTGATTCAATCTTCACTTCAGAGAATGTAGGGAGATTCCCACACCTGAGCCATTCTTTTTAAGTGACAGATCTGAGGAACTTTTCCCAGACTGAGGTGTCATCAATAGAGGAGGTTTGATACATTTAACAGTAGTTAAGTCACCAGGGTCAGATGATATTCACTCAGTTCTGAAGAAATTCAAATATGAAACTACAGTCCTACTCACCCTGGCATGAAACCTAGTGCTTAAATCAGCCTCTGTACCAGCTGTCTGGGTGAATACTTAATGTGACTGTTGAGAAAGGCTCTTGAAGTGATCTTAGCAATTACAGGCCTGTAATCCTAACTTCAATGCCAGGCAAATTGGTTGAAAGTATATACAAAACCAAAATGATCAGACATATACATGAGCACAATATATATTGCAGGTAGAGTCAACATAGGTTTTGAGAGGCATGATTTCCCTTTACAAATCTACTAGACACACAAGGAGAATCAGACAATATTTTTTATTGGACCTTACGGAGCTTATGGAGTTCCCAGACTTGAAGAAGAGCTGGGTGTAAGCTTGAAAGCTGGTTGTCCTCACTAATAGAAATTGATCCAATACACCCACCTTGTCTCTCTGATACTCTGGTACCAATGTGGCTACAACGACACCGTACTCACCAGTGTATTAGAATTCTTTGATGGCACAACAAATATGAGGACAAAGGTCATCCAGTGGATATCGTGTACCTGGGTTTTTGGAAACTTTTTGACAAGGTGCTCACCAAAGGTTCCTAAGCAAAGTATGGTCTCACAGGATAAGAGGGAAGGTCATTTCATGGATCAGTAACTGGTTAAATAATAGGAAACAAATGGTAGGAATAAATGGTCAGTTTTCACAATAGAGAGAGGTAAATAGCTTACTCCCACAAGAATCTGTACTGAGACCAGGACTATTCAACATATCCATAAAAGTGATCTTGGAAAAAAAAAAAGGGGAGGGGGGGGAGCGAGTCAGGTGGCAAAGTTTGCAGATGGTATAAAATTTCTCAAGAGAGTTAAGTCCAAAACACACCGCAAAGAGATTTTACAGAACTGGGTGACTTGGCAAGAAAATGGCAGACAAAATTCAATGCTGGTAAGTGCAAAGTAATGCACAAATTACAAATGTAATGAATCTAGATTAGATGTTACCACTCAAGAAAGATCTTGGAGTCATCGAAGAACGTTTTCTAAAAATATCTGCTCAACATGCAGCAACTGTCATGAAAGTTCATCGTGTTCGAAACCATTAGTGAAGGATAGGTAAGGCAGAAAAAAATGCTACTATGCAACTCTATGGTACCTTGAATACTGTGTGCAGTTCTAATTGCCCCATCTTAAAAAAAATCATATTAGAATAAAAAAATATTGAGAGAACAACAAAAAATGATTGGGGTATGAGAACGGTTTCCATATAAGATGAGATTAAAAAGACTCTTCAGCTTGAAAAAAAGAGAGACAATTCATCAGGGATATGAATGATGTGGAGAAAGTGAATAAGGAAGTATAATTTACCCCTTCCCATATCATATGAACCCAGGATCACCCAATGAAATTAGTGAATTACAGGTTTCACACTAACAAAAGGAAATAATTTCTTCACACAACACACAGTCAACCTATGGAACTCACTGCCAGAAGATGTTGAGAGGAACAAAATTATAACTGGGTTCAAAAAAAAATAATTAGGTAAGTTCTTGGAGGATAGGTCCATCAATGACTATTAGCCAAGATGGTCAGGGATGAAACCTAGTGCTCTGGTTGTCCCTAAGCCTCTGACTGCTAGAAGCTGGGATTGGATGCCAGGGAACATCACTCAATATATTGTCCTGTTATGTTCACTCTAAAGCATCTGGCATCAGCCAGTCAAAAGTCATGATACTGGGCTAGACAGACCATGAATCATGACTGTTCTTATGATTAATGGATATACTTCAGAGATCCAAATCATTCCTGAAGCAGGACCTCCTTGGCAAATTAAGAGACCACTTCCAAAAATTTGGATATAGATCTAAATATGTACCAGTGACCCCTAATTCTAAGAGATGCAAATACTCCGAACCTAGGCTAGTGAGTGGGGCCACAAGACTGTTGTAACCAAGATGGTCTCCTGGCATAGGGCAGTTCTGCTATCTGCACTGGCGTACCTAGAATTTGTGGGACATGCTGATGGAACTGTAACATTGCTTTAATTGGATGCAGAGGGAGTGCACAGATTTTACAATCAATGTTGGGTGCAATCAGCATTCACTTCACTTCACGTGCCCTTAGTTTGTGTATGTGTCACTTTAGTAATACAGTATGAAAAAACCTGTGCCGATGGAAACCAGCGGAAGCCGGCAACTGTGCATGTGGGCCACGGTAAACAAAATGTCTTGCAGGCCACACGCAGTCCATGGACCACAGGTTGCCCACCACTGTCCTAGAAGAAGTTCAGCACTTTGCTGAGTGGGATGACAGAAATTATTCAGGGACTGATTTTGCACAGCACAGAAATCTCTTTGTAAATCAAACAAACCAATAAAATACATAACTGAAAGATGAGACCGCTATGACTGCTGCATAATAAAAATCTCTCTGTGGACTAGATTTTCATTTTGATGAAGGGCAAACAACAAGCGCATTAGTATGAGAACTGTTCAAGTAAGTTTTAATAGAGTGCACCAGTGAAAGTGAATCTAGATGACTTGCATCAAAATTTGTTTGAATGAATACCAGGTAAAAAGGGGCTACAGTTGTTTCTTTCCAAACACCACCCTTTTTTCTAAGGCAACAATACACATCCATTTCAGAATATAACTGTTACAGAAAGCTTACATCACAGTATAGTACAGCATGTAAAACCACCTCTGTCAAGAAGCCATTATTGAATGGCACATTAGCTACACTTACAGCCTTCTAAATTAGAGTTACAGAGTTTACCACAGCTTTTAATTTTTTTTAAAGTGACAGATTTTGAATGAACTTTCTATTCTCCACAAGAGTGTGCATATGGGGCCCATATGTTGATATTACAGTAATTACGACATTAAATAACATTGCACAACCAACCTCTATGGTTAATTCAGTACAAAATAACAAGTATTAAAAGGTACCATTGCTAGTGATTTTACATAGTTTATATCACTAATTATGGAAGGAAATCTTTTCCATAGGCAAATGCCTAATTACAAAGCTGCACATTACAGGCATAATGATGTGGTATAAATACAAGAAATCTGGTAAAATATTAAGCACAAACAAGTTACATGGGAACAAATTGTACAACCACATACGATAAATCAACCATTATTGTTTAGCAGTAAAGTATCATAAGGAATTGCATGTTGTCTTTGGGGGCAAATACTCCAAAAGCCAGTAAATTCCTGAGGTGGTATTATTAACTCATACAATTGGTCAACACTTCCAATTATCTTGTGCTATGAAACAGTCCCAACATTAATATAGTTCCACAACTAGAATTTGCAATATATTGAAGGCAGCGAACAAGTGATATTTTACATCATGTTATTTAAATGAAATAATTTACTCGTCTCCATTTTGATGCTACATTTTCAATAGGCCATGAGTGTAAGCATTATAATTTGCACACAAAACATTACTTGGATGTGATTTCTGTTCCCCAGCAGCTCTCGGCTGGCCCAGCGCAAAATAATCTTTTAAAATCCGTTAAGTGCCAACACTGTAAACATGTTTGTATTTTTCAGCTAAACACTGTCCAATACCAAGGATAAGAGCAAAACGTAAGTAGGAACAGTCTTGTGTATAACAAAAGCCAATTTATCGACTTCTGGTTCAAATTCACATATGACTTTTAAATAACTAAAAATGGTCATGCTACAGTTGTGAAAACTATTTTTGTGCATTTTGATTCTTGAGAGTTTAAAAAAATGCATGATAGGAGAATTATTAAAACCACCAAAAATGTAAACCGTGATAGGGAAGAACTTTTTCAACTCAAAGCATCAAACATACACTTTTGTGCAGAAATCTAGACAACTATACAAGATCTGTATTTAAGCAATCATCTTCTTTTATTATACAACTCTATGAACATAAAATGAACAGAATGCTCTATATACTTACCTGTACATGTGAACATATCTTCTTTAGCTACAGTTATTTAGTATAGGTCATACTGAATTTAATTTTACAATTCAGAATAACTATGTATAACCTTATTGCAATAGGGACAATTTCTACATGGGGAGTTTCACAGGCCAATCACACTAGGCGTAACCAGTACATTCAAAACGTAAGTGTAGATCACGTATGAATTTTCCCTGATCCCTTAAATTTAGTTTCTCTTTACAGTTTAAGCTCATTTGCAATTTTGGATGCAATGTTCTTAAATGCAATAGAAGTCCCAGATATTCTCTTGAAGCGGACCCCATTGAGTGACAACCGTGGCAATTTGCAGACTTCCATCTCCCATTGAACAAGACTATCCTGTCGTGCGTCACCATGAACACAGAAGAGCAAAAACCTCTCTTTTTGTTCATAGTCACAGTTATTAGCATCTAACACTTTTCGAATCTCTCTCATCATATCATTCGGGTCCATGGAACTAGTGGTCTTCATACTCCACGTGAATCGCAAAGAACGTGGTTTGGAATCTTTGCTATCCTCTTTTTCTCTGTCTTTTGGTTCCCCAGAAGCACTCCTGAAGAGAGAAACATGTTGCACACTCAAAAACAAAATCACTACAATAGATTTAAGTGCTAGAAAGAAAACTCCTCACTGTAATATATGCAGTATTAACTACAGATACGCATCCCATTGCACTGCTGCAGCAGGAGTCAGTGGAATCTACATTGTTTTAAAAGTATCTTTTGATTTCTATCGAGGTCACTATTTGGAGCACACCATACGTCAACAAGAGGTATCAATTTGTGGGACACGTGACCTGGAAGTGTAAACATGCTGTAAAAGCAGCAAAGGAAGGAAACCCACCCTGCATTCCACACACAAGTTTTCACTTTCATGCTTGTGCACGAAAAGAATCTAATTTCCTTGATTTTCAAACTGGGGATCATTATGCTCACAATTCATTCCATTTATTTTTATAGAGTCTTTAGGGACTTTGACCTCTCTCTCTCTTCTCTTTTTAAAAGTGACCTTATATTTTGGCAACATCCTATTTTAACAGATACAATAGCATTTTATATTACAATTACTCAACTGGGTGGCAAACAGCATCTGTGTCTCATAACACAAAAGCCAGAAGATGCGTAACAGAATAGTGAAGGAGAGAGACAAAAATGTCATTTTACCTGATAAAACAACTTAGATAAAATCCCAAGTAATTATCTTCTAATGAATACAAATAGTGGAACTATAAAGCTTCTTTACCCATCAAATCACGCAACATAGGCAATTTTGGAAGGCAGGTTGGTAAAACAGTACTCATTTTAAATTTTAAGAGTTCCAAGATTCTGTGGTTTCTTTTCCCAGAGGCCCAAGAGCTGCTGATGTTACCACCTATTATTAAGAAGGGGGTGTTTCCTTGGCAGGATCTGTTTAATGAAGAGTGGAGGTCAATTTCAGACCAGACTTTCCTCACCCTCCTTTTCTAGCTGTTTTCCCTTCATTTCCCACCTCCTGCCCACTTTTACTTCTCGGGCAAATACCAAGGCTAACCCTGCTGGTCAAAGTCCTCTACAACAGCCGTAACTAATATTATTTTTACTTCAAAAAGTGATTGTAGTTATCCAAGCACAGAAGAACAGTCCCCTCACCTAAATTTACAATATTGTATTCAACAATGAGGTTCCCCCCAAAAAACAAAGGTAACCTGCCCAGGGGGGCTGACAGACTTGATGGGCAAGGTGAGGGGAGTTGGTCTCTGTGCTTCCGGAAAGGGCAGGATTGGGGCAGCCAGCTCTCAGTGCCACCTGGAGCGTGCCGTGCTGAGCGCCCTTCCTTCCCTGAGTGTGCCACATGGCACTTCCTGTCCTGAGCATGCCTCATGGCTGCTGCGTTTACAATAGCAGTGGTGGCTGGGAACCCTGGGCTCTTTTGAATCGCTGGGCCCCAGGGCAACTGCCTCCTTTGCCGCTTCCCTCCCCCCACATAGGCAGGCCTGAATCTACCACTTCATTTAAGAAACTTTTCACTCTGCAGAGAGAAGCAGAACTGGAAATAGCTGTTAAAAGCATGCTTTTCGGACGTTTCGTTGCTGCCGCCAGAGACCCACATCAGCATTAGAGGAGTTGGCACAGCAGCATAGTCAAGGCTTGGACTCATATAGCACTTCAGGAAGTGGCCTGATGCCCAAAACATACCAGGGCTGGGGGACAACAAGGAGGCAGCAGAGAAAGGTAGAGAACAGGAATGAGCTAGTGATATCAGAGCTGAAAGCCACTGCCATGCTTAATTAAATTAACAGGCTTGACTAGAGATTCAGTAATACAGCAGCTTACGGATATAGGAGAAAAAAAATGCTGAAACGGGTAATTCAAAAACATACCCAATATATCAGTTATACGAAGCAATATACACTGTTTAAAGAGCTGCTGTTCTTTTAAATACACATGCGTATTAAATATTTTCTCTTAGAAAGAAGTCTATTTTGTAATTAACTATTTTAGAATATAACAATAACGGCAGTGTTCATTGTTTATTCATGAATTGCTTCAAAAATGTACACTTGCTTTACCAAACACATTAAAAAGGCAAAATCAACATGCTGAGACATGCTAGAAAAGAACATCTACTGAAAGGTGAACACACTGTAGAGTATCAAGATGGTAGCCAGAGGTGTTCCCTCTAAGCTGCGCCGCAACACAGGTTTACATGGAGCTGATTGGGTGTCGCTGATTAATCACCTGTGAAGCTGTGCTGCCATGCAGCTTAGAGGGAACACTGGTAGCCATGTTTGTTTTTGCTGAAACATACTATGAGGAGTTCTGTGACACCTAAAAGACCAACATATTTATTAAAGGTGCCACAGGATTTCACGTTGTTTTTATTGTAGTGTATGTTATCGCTACAATTTTGTTTGTGTACCCAGTGGTATCCATACAAAGTCAATATTTTCAGCTACCACTCAACAATATCTGAATATCACTGTTATTTTTAAGCATAAAGAAACACTGATACTTCAGACAATGCAGGATGTTCACTGCTGGTGAACAGAGACTTTTAAATGATGAATATAATATGCAAATATATTGAATATTTTACTCTACATATACACATATATTAACCTATATATTAATTACTTAAACCTATATTATTTTAAATAATATTAAACAGAAGGTGGGTTTAAAGAAGAATCTTATGATTTGGTTTAATATTGAGGCTGGGACTGCTTTCATAGGAATGTTAACTTATAAAGTTTGCTTCTTTACAAAATGTACAATACAAAACACAGTTTTGAACATATATCTACATGTATTTAAAAAAATCAAAAAAGTGAATTTCCAGGGAGATAGGAGGGATGGGCGGGACCCACACAAAACAACATTTTTTAAATACAAATTATTGAGGCACTATTCTATTTTAAAGCTTGAATGAAAATCATTTAGAAATCACTTAAACTTTTAACACAAAGGACCTAGCAGCGAAGTATTAATTGTGGCTCCTCACCTTGAGGTGTCAGTTCTGCCACTGGCTTCGCCTTCACTTGGATCCCTCAAAACAAAGTTAAGGTTGAGATTCAATGATAAAGATGAAAAATAAGTCAAGAGAACCCATATCTTATAACAGAATTAAAGTAACTACCGAGCAAAGATTCAGCATAAAAATGTCATATGTACTAATTTTTGTTAAGTACTATTTTTCACAGCTGCAAGTTTGATTTCCCTTTATGATACCTCAATTTATTACAACCCTGGTATTTTTTTTTTTTTTTAAACTCTTGGTTAACATAAGCTACTGTGTTCGGGCCTAATACAGACTAAAAATGGCCATGTACAATTCCAAGAAGTATAATTATAGTATTTTCGTCAACAAGGACCTGACTCAGAGAGGTGCTATGTGCCCTCAACTAGCCAATTGCAAGTGTTCAACACCGCTCTGGGTCAGGCCCTCAGCCACCAATCCTTAAAACATTAGGCACCTGCTTAGCTTCAAGTATGGTCTCATATTTGGAGTTAAGGGTGTGCCTATGAGTTGATAGGATCAGCTCCTGAGACCGTAATTCAAAAGGTTACACATGCATCTGCTTAACTTTACACAAGCAAATTATCCTATTGAATTCAACAACATTATTGATATGGGCTTTCAATTAGGCTGGTGCCTGGGTTCCTTGCTGAATGGGGGGTCATGATTTGTAAAATAATCACTTAACGGCTTTAGTAGCCTTTGGTTGTTTGAAAAATAAATAGATGTACAATGCATATCACGAAAGCCAAGATATCAAAATCTGATAAGTGGGTACATTCCTAATGCTGCAGTACAAACATTTTAGTATTTTAAAGGATTTATTTAATCCAGCACTTAACACCTTTCAACATTATTCTATATAAACACCTACTTAACTTACAATCTATAAAATATCATTTGGCACAACATTAATACACATTTCAACAAAATGCCTCAATACTAAACAAGATACATTTTAACTAATGTATAAAAGCATTTACTGCATATAAATACCCTACATACTTACTGGAAAACACATGCACAATTGTCAGAAATAAAATAAAAAAAGACTCCTTCTAGACAACCTTCTGATCAATATATGTATAAATATTACTCAGCAGAGTAAGGTTTTATATTATTCAAAGGCATTAAGAAATAAATGATCAACAGCAAGATTGTGAGGCAGTCCAAACACAGTCAAAAGAGTTAATCTAAGACAGGTAGAATGTAACATTATCTTTGAGGCAATCACCCCATCTTTATAAATCATCTGAGTGGCAGGGAATGTTATGCTTTTGGTTTGGTGAAATGATTACACTACTAAAATAATTCTAAACATATGCTTTTGGGGCTTTTTAAAAAAGGGTTAAGAGCAAAAGTGTCTGAGGCTTCAAATTTAGGATTTTTTAATCACTGACACCAAGAAACCGCCAGAAGTCTACTTTTTCTTAGAATTTTAGCACTGTACTTAATAATCAGAACTAGAACAAAAGCAATCCTCCATCATACATAGAAGTAATTTTGGTTAAATTTTAATTTAACAAGGATATATCCCTGTCTCTCTCTCGTGTGTGTGTGTGTGTGTGTGTGTGTGTGTGTGTGTATATAAATACACACACAACACAAAATCTATGAAGTGTACATTCTGAAGTGTACACGAGCAGAATGAAACTGGCTATAGAAAATAATTTCTTCCAACATTATATGCATGCCATTTTATTTAATACAGTGTCAGAATGACATTTAAGGACAAACAATGTATCCCCCTGAAATGATTGATTACTTAATGGAAAATGTACTTCATGCCATTTTGGAATTTTGTTGCACAACTGGAATGACAGAGTACTTAGTACTGGGTTATAATGTTCAGAAAGGGAACAGAAAATCAAAACTCTACATATATGATGCTAATACCAGTAATGTAGGTTCAAGAAACTACTTGTCATCTTGTAACTATTCTTATATTAAAACAGCAAGTTTCACTTGTGACTAGATTTAAGACTAGCAAGCTTATCTGTGAATTTAACATAGGATATTATGATTCTTCGAAGATAATATAGGACTTAATTCTGTTGTGAAATTGACAGTTTTATTGCACTTTGTAGCTATTTGTAGCGCCTCACCAAATTCATAGACTATTTTGGTCAATGTTACAGTCATAGGATTTAATAAACCATACATTTCATTATTTTAGCTATTTTAACCTGAAATCTCATAATGATTTAACTGAGGGAGGCCACAAGGTTATTGTAGGGCAGAAGTGGGCAATACTTTCTGAAGGGGAGCCACTTCACAAATTTCTGAAGTGGTCACAAGCCACCCAGGAAGAGGCGGGGCCAGGAGGCTTTCTGTGCTCTCCCATCCACAAACCTGTGAAGCAATTGTCCCCCCCAACTCCAAGCACCTAGAAAGAACCACCAGCTGTTTTGAACAGCTGGCAGTTCCCTCTAAGTGCCTGTGCTCCTGGTGGGGGGAGGAGACTTCACATGCTTGCCCTGCCTACAGGCCAATCAGGACGTAGGGGTGGGAGAGTACATGAAGTCTTTCACTCTCTGCTCCTGCCCTGCCAGGGGTGTGCGGTGTCTAGAGGGAACCACCAGCTGTTTTGAACAGCTGGAGGTTTCCTCTGGTGCTGCCCACCCCTGGCAGGGGGAGGAGACTTTGCATGCTCCCCTATTCCCAAGTCTCGATTGGCCTGGGGGCAGGGAATTGACAGGGCGGCCGTGGAGGGTATCTTGCCCACCCCTAGGTCAAGGGATTGGGGTACAGGACAGCCTGTGAGGTCTGGGAGGAAGTCTGGGTGAAGGAGGCAGTTGTGACCTGGGGCATGAGATTGGGGTTGTGACTTAGGGCAGGACGGGGTTGTGGCCTAGGGCAGGGGTGCACTGTTTTGGGGTTGTGGCCTAGGGCACAGGATTGGGGTGCAGGAATTTGGGTTGTGACCTAGGGCAGGAGGGGATTGTGATCTGGGCAGAGGATTAGGGTGATGGATCTGGGAGGGGGTATGTGCTCAGAAGGGAGGCAGAGGGTTTGGATTAAGTGGGGGGAAGGAGGGAAATGGGGAAGAGGGCTGGCTGTGTGGGAGGAAGGGGCTGGGGTGCCTGGCCTGGAGACTTTGAGAGAGACTCCCAGCCAGCAGCCAACATGTTTCTCAGGCAGAAGTCTGCCCTGTCCCCGCACAGACTGCATGACCATGTATTCTGTGAATATGAGCCTGAGGGGAGGGGAGATTGGTGCTTCACGCACTGCCTGTTTCAAGAACAGCTAGCATTGGCCAGAACTAGCCAATGGGATTGTGCTGGGGGTGGGAGCAGTTCATGAAGCACCACCTCCTCCTCCCCTCGCTCACAGTTTGGGAAACACAAACAGCCCAGCAGTCACTTTTCTGAGCAGCGTGCGGAGGTGGGGCAAGCAGGGGAGTCTGCCTGAGGCACCCAGCTGCATCCATGGGCCGGATTCAGTGGCTTAGCGGGCTGGATCCAGCCCGTGAAGGGTGTTTTGCCCAGGCCTGTTGTAGAGGGTTTGTGGTACTGCAGGCAGCACAGGAGTAAGGATGGCACTACAACAACAGTCCTAAAATAACCTTGTGATGTCTCTGCAACTCCCTTTTGGGTCAGGACCTCCGATTTGAGACATGTTGGTCTTCCCTGTGAAATCTGTCTAGTATAGCGTAAAAGCACAAAACACATCTGATTTCGAGGGAGAGACAGACCAGATTTCACAGTCTGCAACATGTTTCTGATGACTGAATTTGGTAAGGCCCTAGCCATTGGTTTCCTCTGTAACTTGCCTACTACTTCCTGAAAACTGTAGGTAAATCCTTGCAAAGATTTCAAACAAAAGTTGATTAGCTACTGCCTAAACAAGTAAAATGTGAAAATCAATTGTTCTTGTAAGAAAGCTTTTAAGGTAGTCACATAAACAATCACTTTAAGATCAAATACAGTAACTCCTGACTTAACATTGTCCTGGTTAACCTTGTTTCATTGTTACACTGCTTGTTTACAGTTGTGCAATTCTCACTTATATCATTTGGCTGCCTGCTTTGTCCATTGCTTGCTGGATTTTCTGGAAAAACAGCCCGTTCTTTTAGGGGTTTAGCACCAGAATGGGCTGGCAGTCTCGCACTAGCTCCTCTAAGTTCCCAATAAGCTACACAGCTGGGGCTGCCTCTCCCCCAACCCTGCTGCCCCCCTCCACCCTGCCTTATTACTCCTGCTCTCTGCCTGGGAGCTGCTCTGGAGAGCCTCCTGATTGCTATGCTGTGTGTGGGGGGCAGGAGGAGAAGAGGGGGAGAGAAGTGCTGATGTCAGGATTTCCCCTCTCCTCCCCTCTCAATCAAGCCTCCCCACGCTGTACCCTATCTCCAGAAAGCAGGATATCACAGCTACAGTCTTGTATCTGCACTTCCTGGTAAACTTACAAGGGCAGTGTACTTGAAGTGCGGCCACCATACTTAAAGGGGCAATGAACCTCTCTCTCAAACAGTGTGTGTCTCTTTCTCTCATATATACGACCCCGTTAGCAGTGTGCAGCCATTTCTGTGCCATCTGGAGAGAGTGGTGTGGATTCAGTACCATGTTCAGTTTCCGCAGGGAAGTGTTTGCAGCCACTGCCATAAGTCTGTTGTGTTTCCTCCCTCTTGCCTTGTAGAGTGTGAGGCCGCATTAACAACGTGTTAACTCCTGAGGGATCAGCTGAGTGCTAGTTCATCATTTAGTAGTGAGACTTTCCATAGGAAATATTCTACCCTCTGACTCCACCACCTCAACTATGCTTCACAATCATTATTGTTGCGTACAGGGAGGTGAACAACTAGTCGACTATCCGAAAAGCAAATGCTTCCCCTCCCCCTTTGCTACCTCTGTCAGAAAGAGGCAGCGGAGGGGGTGCTTCAAAGCAGCAGCGCTGCATGGAGCCCGGGGTCAACTAGGGACTCTGAGTCCCCAGCTGACCACGGGCTCCATGTGGCACTGCTGCTTTGAAATGCCGCAGGGAGCATGGGGCCAGCTGGAGACTCAGAGTTAAGTCCTCCGCTCAACCCGTGCTCCCCGCAGTGCTTTTGCCTTTGAAGTGTAGCAACAAACCTGGGGCTGTTGCTATACTTCAGAGGTGGAGGCGCCTTATTGATTAATCGAATAGTTGATGTAAATTGCATCGACTTTTCGATTAGCTGATTAATCTAAATTTAACATCCCTAATTGTGTACAGTATTGTTTAAAACTGTTTAAAACATATACTGTATATACATATAATGCTTTTTACCTGCAGCAATTCTTATGAGGAAATTGGATTCACTTAACAGAATTTTGCTTAAAGTAACATTTTTCAGGAACATAACTACAACAGTAAGCAAGGAATTACTGTAATTTTATCTATATATCATATGTTTTTTTCACAGCCTCAATCATGATTACATGTAAAAATGTGTGCGCTTCATTGACTTTCAGATTGTTGATTAACTTCTTCAAAAATAAGTTTAACTGAAAGATTGATGTTCATACAAATGAGAATTTCCAGATGCTAACTTTTATATTTCATTTTCACTGTCCTCAGTAAGAAACCAAAATTCTCTACAATAGCTTGTCAATAGGGAAAACACTGATTTTGTTTGAACACAGCAAGTTATCCAGCAATGAATAATCTTGCTATTGGTAGTAATGATCTCTGTAATTAATTACATCTATATCATAAAATATAAATGTTCCCTTTAATGTTACATGATAATTTGTTTAATGACAGAATATCAATTTTGCAGATGGAGATATTTCATTTTTTCCTCTATAGGTCAAACTATCCTTTCAATTGTTCAAACCAAACCTAATTTTCATTTTTTTCTTCTATTGATGTAACAAGAAATCATTGTAGTTACTGCATGAAGTGTGTGACTATTTCATTCTTTTAAGATAAAGAAACAAGAGAATGGCTGGCCAGATCTGGATGGAAATAACACAGAGAACAGCAAAGCAGATTCTGAAAGAGTAAGACAAAGCAAAGATAATCCTACTCTAATTAAATGTATACTTATGCTAGATTGTCATGCTGGAAATCCCCTAAAATAATTTTTTTTTTAATAAATCTCATTTATTATTTTAGAAGAAGTAAAACTATCTGGGAAATTAAACAAACAAAAAAAATTCACAGAAGTCTGGTACTAACCTTCGAACAAACTTGGAAGTTATCTTGCTTATAATACCAGTTGAAGTGCCCCTTCTAGCATGTGAAAATGCACCAGTTTCATGTGAAGGTGAGGCAGGTGGTCCATTGTAAGTGGCATTACGCCGCTCCCGTAGCTGCTCACCATGGAAAGTGCTTCGACTTGAACTCCCCCGAGGAAAGCGGGTTCGGTCTGGAGTAGTAGTACTAATACTATGAGCTGATGGGGAAGCAGCAGGCACCCTCTGAGGTGCACTGCTGAGGAAACAGAAGAATGCTTAAGAGAAAGACAACACAAAAGTCATCTTCCCAAATATAAAAATAAACTAGGAGGCCATGCCCCCTGCTCGCTGCATTCGCCAAACCCCCACTCACGGGAGGGTAGGCAACCCCGGCTTTCCCCACTAGCCGGGGGGAGGACTGGGCTGCGGCTGTACCAGCACTGATTCCCTTCTTCCTCCCGACACCCCGTGCCAGCCCAGGTCCCTTCTCTCTCTCTTCCCCACCCCCAGCAAGCCCAGGGCCCCTTCTCCCTCCCCCACCGCACCAACCCAGGCCCTTTCTCCCTTCCCTGCCACCGCAGCCCAGGCTCCCCTTCTCCCTCCCTCCTCTCCATTCTCTGCCAGCCCAGGCCCCTTCCTCTCTCTCCCCTCCCCCTGCCATGCCAGCCCG